ACTTCCCGGCTACACTGCAAGTAACATGGCCAGTCGCAATTTAGGAAGTCTTTGGCAAGCTGTAAGACACAATCATGGAATAAATACTTTGCCAAAACATACATGGATACACACGTGCAGAGAAATCCCCCGAGAAATGTAGTTTGAGCTTCCTGAAAAATCCTAAAAAGAACATCTAGGAGATCTCAGTCTCTGTTCAGTCTTGTAGTTCCTATTTAAAGACAAGTTAGTCTTCTGTTTTCAGTGTCTGCTCACTACTGAATTTGGTTTAAAGAGCTGCTAGCATAGGCTTAACGAAGTTTCTTCTGAAAGGCTGATTGTGTTTCCTTCTGCCTTTTTGACAGACTCCATTTAAAACGGGCCTTCTTCATTTAATTATCTAGTCTTTATTTCTGCGAGTTTTATTTCTGAACTGGAATAAATGTTATAGTCAGAATTGTGTCTGTAGACAACATTTTATAAGGCTTAAAACCCTTTTCCTTTACAATCAGACAGTGAAGCAAGGGCTCTGTGGTGCAAGATCCACAGCTCTGTCCAGGGCACGTGCAGCACCTGCACAAGGCACTGGAGGTCACAAACCTTGCAGGGACATTTAGGTACGCAGGTGCCTTAGACAAACATTACAGACCCAAGGGTTGTCTGACTCCTGATCAGTAATTGAAGTTTATCCTCTCTAAACACTTCTGCCTGAAAGGAGCAATGTTACTAGGTAGCACATGGGAATCCCATAGCTCATGAAACCAGGAAAATTGCTGATCTCCAGGGTTTAAACCAGCTCCTTGACTGCTCACCCTCCACAAGAGCATGGAGCAGCAGTAATGTTTCCTACAGGTTAAGAGGAATTACTCTATAAGCACAGTATAGAACAGATATATCCTGTGGAAGATGAAGACGTGAGGGCTCTCTGCAGTATGGTTGTGCCCTTTTTCCACCCCCAGGCAGGAAAACCATAACTGCCTGGCTGCTTCCAGACCTCTCCAATCCCACCTCAGGATTTATTACAGACCTCTTAAGCCCCAAAATACAAAATCTTTGCAATTGGGCAGGCTCAGCCATAAATGCAAAGCAGCCTCTGCTGCTATAAATCAGTATAGCTCAATCAAAATCAATATAAAGCCATAGTCCAGCCTAATGTAGGCCCAGCAGAGACATGGGCACGTTGGTCAATACTGGGGTTCAACAGATGGCTGTCCACTGATGGCTGGCAGAAGCTGTCCTGGTCTTCCTTACTCCAGTTGGCAAATTCCCTTTAAAGAAACTTCAAATCTACCTGCACACAGTCTAGCGTAACTTTCTTCCCTGCCCATAATTGCTGGGGCTGGGCCAGCAGATGTTGTACAACCAACTGGAGGGGAGCTGGCCTAGCCATTTGAGGATAGGGAAGGGAAGCAGCTTACCAGATAGCGTCTGTAAAAGACCTTGGAAACCACTGACACAGACTAATTGCTTACTGCAGAGTAAAGTTCCCACTCTCTGTAGGCTCATTTGCTGTAAACTTCCTAGTCATGTCCAAAACCCTTCCCACAGGACAAACGTGGTTAATACATAAACTGCTTGGCCAATCCCTGCTCCGGGTTCCTGGGAAATATTCTGGGGAATGCTAAAGGAGAAAGAAACAGATAACATGATGATCATCATCACTGTGCTCGGTTAGAAACAAACATCTGTCTGGCATCTGGGCTCTGCCACCCACCATTTATTCCCATCTTCAACCTAAACATAGGAACTAGGTATTTTCATTACCTCTGGCCCCCTCAGTGAGCAAATATGGACAAAAACCATCAGATAAGAGAGGCTGAACTGGCTGAAAATCCCACATGGAGCTGGAAGGAACCAAACGAGGGGAGGAAAGAGAAACTCCCACATATGAAAAGCCATGACAAAGTAGCAGCCTGCAGAAACATCCAATTCCTAACAGAGCACAGGCTCCTTTCCCCACCCTGCTCATCTTAATTTCCTCCCTTTCTCAGGGAGATGCTGGCAATACTGAGCCTCCTGCAGGACATAGCAACAACCCTGGAAAATTCCTCTAGAAATAACCAAGTTTTTCCCAAGTCTCTAACTTGCCTTTGCCTTTTCCCTCTCAGAAACAACCCAAATCCTTGCTCGCCATTCACACTCCGCACATGGCCCTGCCCCTCCTGCTCTCATGCAGATGCACGGGCACTTGCTGCGGGGCTTGGCAGGGCAGAGCTGCTGCTCCTTGTAGGCAGAGACCACAACATGGCTCAGGAGGACACCAGATCTCCATTCACTTCCAGGATGGGCTTGCTCAAATGCAGTAGGAGCATAACCCGTACAGCCGGGACATGCAGTACCTAGGCTGTTGGGTCACACCTCTATTCCATATCACGAAACCTTTGGTGAAGACTCCTGTTATGCAGCTGGAATACTTAGTCCCACACCACATTCCCCTGGAATGGCATTTCAAGTCACCCTGTTCAAACAGTAGCCTGACAAAGCATCCTGAGAAAACAGTATTATATCCTCTTCTGGTTTCTCAAAAAGTGCAGGTAGATATATCATTTCCACCTTTTCCAACTCCTAATTTACCCTTTTTATCAGCAGTAGTGACAAAAAGATTCTAATTAGATGGCGCTAATCAGGTAGAATGGCATGTGATTGACAGCTAGAAGTCACTATCTGTTCTCTGAAAAACAGATTGGTTATTTTCCTCATAGAAGCAGGAGATTTATCAATAGACAAAAGGATGCAAAACCCCAAAAGGTAAGGTATAATTACACATCAGGACTATACATTTTATTTTGACATAAATCTAAAAGGATTCGTGGGTGGTAAAAGCTTTTTTGGAGGGGTGAACAAGCGATACTACTCATAAAGGGAGAACGCCACCTTCACAAAAATAGAATTAGGAAGACTCTCTATAAACTAGTGTGTGGTGGGTTTGTGGTCTTTTGTTGCTTTGTCTGGGAGGGGGGTGGTAGTTTGGGGCAGGGGGGCCTTTCCCCCTTCCCCCCTTTTTTTTTTTTAACCAATCCTGTTTTTAAAAGTCCAGTAACTCATGCAATGAGTTTTGACCCATATGGCAATAGAATAATTCCAGTAGTGTTTTACTTTTTTTAAAACATTTTCATTTAACTATCTGCAATGAATATTCCAACTACATTTTTCAGTAACACAAACAAAATAAACCTGCCAAGTGGCACTTAACTTGTAATATTTTACACAAGACAGCAGATAGGAACAGGCCATTCATTCCAGCGTACATTTTTTTTCCTCTGTTTGCTTCTTATTTCTACTCTTCATGGGTTTGGGCCTTAAAAATCTAAAAAAGTTATTTTAAGCTGCAATATGAAAGTATATCTTGTGGCAATATTTGTCCATTTGATAATCTCCAAGTGTAGCAAGAAGTGGTCATTTGTCCTACATTACTGAAATGTTTAGATTTATTTTACTTGCATGACCTCATTTGCAAATGAGATCGCTTATATTTTGAGATCTAATAGAGAAAGCTTGTGACATCTGTTATTTTGTGTATTAATGGAAAAAACCTCTAAGCTTACCTATAATCATTCATTTCCAATGAAATTTATGGTCCGTATAAAAGAGAGGAGTTGGCAGTCAAAATAACATTTGCCTCAGTATTCAGACTTCTTAGAAAGTAATATTTTTACTTCAGCTAAAACTAGGCCTGCACAACAGTCCTCTTGGACAAGCACCAAATGTTTGAAATGCATCTCCTATCTTCCAAAAAAGCACGCACAAGTTCATTATGATGCTTGAAATCTTCATAAAAACTTTCCAGGTATTAGACATCTTCCCATAGAGTTAACATAGCTGCTAACATGATTTCAAGTTGTTGGGTTTCTTTTTTAACAACAAATACAGACCTGGAATTTTCTAGACTTGAACCAACCGTCAAACCATACATCAAAGACATCATTCTGAAGTATATTTTGATTTGTGGCATTTCAAAATTGTGCAGACACATCAGGTTTTCCATAAGGCTTATAGAAGTGGGACAAACAATAAAATACCCTCCCAATATCCTACCTTTTCAGCATCACGCATCCTGGTGTGATGCTGCACTGACAGGTCTCATTGTCAGTATTATACACTATCGCAAAAAAACATGCACACAAAGAAATAATTGTAAAATTTCTAGGGTGGTTTTTTTTTTTTTTTTTTTTTTTTTTTTTATCTGGATGTATCTATGGATGCTTCCAGACTTCCTAGAAGGCTTAACAGGATAAGCAAATGGTGAGCTTGGGAATGTACAGGGACATTTGGACAGGGAGAGGAAAGAACGGTTTGTGGGAATGTGCCTTTTTAAGGGTGTGTTAAGAAACTAAAAGAAGACTGAGAGAAGGTGCAGAGTAGTAAGGCAAATCCTGAAGATAAATGACAAGAATGTAAGAAAGGAGAGGATGTGTGTAGAGGGAGTTTGCAAGGAAATCAGCAAAAGAAAATAGACTGTAATAATAACTTAAACTATTTCTGAGTGTAGAAGTAACAAAAAGCAAGTAAACAATTTGATTGTTGAGATATTTCATGTTTCATTCCCCTGAAGAAATCAACTCACCTGAGTATGCCCAGTAAGGATCCCCCGAAGCCTTTCGCCTCCGTACCTGCACAGAACTACCATGTCTGTTTTCATGCAGAGAGCCAACATAACCTTCAGTCAGAGCTGGAAAGAGAAGAAGCAGGAATCGTTAGGAAAGTTGTATTTACTCCCTGGAGTTTACACTGTGAAGCTTAAATCCGTGCTAAGCAAAGACTACAAACTTGGCACTACTTAAAAAAAAATTAACACGCATGTTCCTCACCCATGAACACCCACCCTCCAAAGATGATTCGCAGAAGCCATTATTCTGATCTGGCACGTGTCTGCATAACTCCAGTAATTTCCATAAGGAAATTCTGATACACACAAGCAAACAAGTATGAGCCATGACATATGACCAAACCTTCTCTGTCTAGACCCAAAAGATAGCTTATTTTGTTTGTGACTACAAAACTACTAATTATAATTAGACAAAAAATTATTAAGATCCATAAAAGAATACAGATGCAAGTGTCTGGAATATGTCAGTACAGTGTTATCCTGGTCAGCCTAACTGCAGCTATTTTAAACCACATCTGAAAATCCTGCACAGAACAGTTTCACTGAGGACTGAATGAATCTCCTCCTCCCTGTACAGCCTGCAGACCAGCGCCCACGGCACACTGGGCAACAGCCTCAACACAAGCAAAGCTCAGGTAACAACCCCTCATGCGATTCAGCCAAGCAAGGCAGATGCGTAGCACTGCCTTCTAGCCAGAAGAAGGCTACCAATGTCACACAGAATACCCTGCATGCAGTAAAGATGCCTTACGACGTAAGAGACCAGTAATAAAGAGATCTTTGTAAAACTTCTCAGGCTAGAAGGAACTAAATTCATCAACCAAAACAGAAAAGAATGCACCCTACATTGCATCCCAGCATTCTTCTTTTATACCTCAAACAACATATTTTTTATTTTTTTTTCTTGTAAAGGAATGTATAGCTTCCATGAGGACGTGGGTTGCCTGGGATTTTTATGTGCAAATTTTAGTTATGGTTTCTATGCATCTGACCGAACCCAAGTGGAGGTGTGTGAATTCACAAATGCCAGCAAAAAGTCTGCAATAAATTCGTCGACCTTTCTCAGAGCACCACAGCCAAAAACTTTTGTGCTATATCACACACAGACAAAAAAACCCTTAGATCCACAGACATGGAATGTGAAGAACAAGTATGCACCAACTGGCTTAAGGAAGTTTAAGCCCAACTGATCCCGACCCACTGATTTGATCAGTAAGAAACTAGCTGAATAATTCAAATTAAAACTTCAGAAAATCATGTAAAGCACTGCTACCCATATGCAGTCACCAAGCACTGCATTCCCTTCTGTTCCCAGGCCAATTACAGCTGCGCTGAAACGAAGCTTGTAACAGGACTTCATTGAACATCAAGCACCAGTAACTCAGAATTTCCTTCAGAAAAGCTTCTGGGTGACACCCCCTTTGTACTACAGTAGCAGAGGATGCCGTGTCCGAGGGCTATCCACATATGCTAAATAGCTCCACAGACAACCTTCACTCTGCGATGTGGATCATAGTTTTTGCAGATTTTGGAATCCTGAAGTGGTAGGAAAAGTCATGCATCTCAGGAAAGGCATTACAGGTTTGCCCCTGCCAAATTTTCTCTTGTGTGAGCAAAGGTACTAATTGTGCAATTTATTATGAGCCTCTGATTTGAATGAGTTTTCCAGATTTCTTGGCAACTTTCTAAATGCTAATTCACTCCAGGCTGCAAACTAGAAATGCTGGAATACATCATGCTACCAGGATTTGTAGGCAACACTATGTCACATACCTTATTTTCCTCTTCTGATTTACCTTAATGTGTCTACCTCACTGGGAGGCAACAGGCAAAAAAAAAAAAAAAAAAAAAAAAAAAAAAAAAAAAAAAAAAAAAAAAAAAAAAAAAAAAAAAAAAGAAAAAAAAAAGAAGGAAAAAAGCCTGAGCAAAGATCAGAGACCATGAAAATACCAAGGAAGAAAACATAGAAATAACCTAGGTGGATGGCTGAAAAGGCTACCCCATTATTCACTTAAAAAAAACCCCACGTGCTGAGAAATACACCTGAAGTCCCTCCTTATTACAAAATTAAAAAGACAACAGCAGCTTTCTTCTGAGCATCTTCTACACAAAGGAGGCAAATGGTTGTGGGGGTTTTGTCATCCAGAAAAACTGATTCCTGCAAGCAGAAGGAAGATTTCACCCTGCCTCCTCCAAGGAGTAAGGTACTCCTGCAGGTATCTGCTCAGTGAGCCCTTCTGCGTGCCTTACCATCAGAAGAAACTATGTCTAAATAATCTATATTGTTGAAGGAAAAAAGGCTCAGAGTCAGTGCAAAACATCTGAAGTTGTAAAACTCTTTGTACTCCTAGCTTGAACCATCAAAAAGCCGCATGGCAACCACGGTATGGCTCTGAATCATACCATTGATTTTCAGTATCCTCTGTGCAGAAAATTAAATTATGCAAATCCAAGCCTTTATGAATGCCTAACTTTAATGTGAAATTGAACATTTGCTTCAGTCAGCATCTTATTTATGCAATTAAAAACCTGACATTCCTGTGAAAATATGCAGTTTTGGTTTTCTGCATAGACACTTAATAGATTTGTACATTCATCTATACTTTTAAATGGTGAAGAACCATGCTGTACACAAATTTATTTTCACCAATAAGGACGTTACAAAAGAAGAGGAAAGCTCAAGGATTTGTCAGGAGAACTGTGGGAAGGAACTTGCTGGTTATACTGCTAAATATCTTCTGTGGGACTGAAAAAGAAAGAAATTGGAACACCCTGTTCTAAATAAAATCCTGCATCACTGTTAGGCAGCCCAACATTAATGTCAATAGTCCGCTTACAAACGTGCAATAATTCAGTAGTCATTAGCAATTTAGAGAAGATAGATGTTTACTGGATAGCTGCAGAAACTCTGGGAAAGGATGATAGGTCAAGATCTCCATCCATGCTGCGAACTGGGCAGGTAGCAGTCTGCCTCTATCAAAAATCATGACACCACCTCCGTCCCTAAGCTGGCCCAGTTCCCCAGCCTGCTCACAGTATGGCCATGCAGTTCGGCATGGGGCCACACAAATGCTCCAAGACGACAGTGTGGGAACAACTAGCTCTTGTGGACAATATCTTATACTGGTAAAGTCATCAGGAAACCACAGACTGTATCGCGTGGTGCTTTTGTTCTCTGGCATCAGCTGGGGTCGGCTGACTCCTTCATACTGAAGAGGTGTAAGAGACAGAACAGAGCATACAGCAACTTTTCAGATAAAAGTTTGGAAGAACCAAAGCATTCAAATTAAGTTATTTCAAAAAAGAAAGTGTTTCAGATATAAAATCATCTTATGGTTCAGGAAGAATCATTACTTTTTCTGGATTTTGGGGTGGGCTGGGGATGTACCTCCTGACCAAAACAGCTTGACACCACCAATGAAAATTTAACAGGCATCTCAGTGTTGCTGAATCTGCCTCTTTCACTGAAAATATATACAGCTAAAGTATTTTGTTCAGCTCCGGCCATTAAGAGTACATGTCTTCATTTTTGTAAAATGCTCCAATACCACAGTTTCAGAAGCTGTATATGCAAGTAAGTGACTCAAACCTCAGCTGACATCTTCCAGCGTTTCTAACATCTGAACAAGTTTTGGAGAAAAATATTTAAGAAAGTTAAGTTTCATTAGCACCAATCACTACAGGTTTCCACAAGTCTTTTTCAGCTGGGAGACAGTTACCAGCTCAAGAACAGAGAGCAGCTCCACTCCTGCAGAATTGGATGCTGGAGAAAAGCCAGCAATTAGATGGGTTGGTCCAGCACGGAGCAAACACGGGGAGGCTCCTCTTCTGGGAACTTTGGAAACGTTGGGAAAGTGGAAATTGGAACACTAGGAGGGACAGTAACATGCTCCAAGAAGGCTCAAAATGGAGCAGCCAAAATAAGAGGGGTGGGGTGGAATATAGGAAGAGAAGGGACAGTGGAAGCCCCTGCCCTGCAAGGTTTTGTGTGATATGTCGTGCCAGTGCTGATGGCAGACGAGTAATGAACACCATAATATATGGCCTGAGACTTGCAGATACACGATTAGAAGAGAAGGGGACCAATATTATACTCAGATACACAAGTGTGAAATTAAATCCTAAGCAAGTCCTCTGGCTGCTGGTGCAGGGTTGGTGTCTATGAAGCGTAACACCTGCAGCCAGTGGAGTTGTGCTGTGCCTATGAGAACTACTTCTGCAAGGATCCTTCAAAGCTAACATGAAGAAATCTCTTACACACAATTTCATATAATTTTAATCGCTATTGAACGCTACATGATTTTAGATGATGTGCTAAATGAATCAACCCATGCCGCATATCTGCAGACAGCAAAAGCAATGCAACGCTGGGATATGCTTTAGCATCCTGATCAGCTTTCCATTCACTCTGTCTCAATGTATTAACTTTCCCATAAAAATTATTTGATAAGTGCCCTCAAAGGTACGATAAGGTAATTCCTGCCTGAATACCTTACTGGTATTCATAGTTCACATGAAAACACAAAATTTTATCCCCAATCTACCTTAAATATAAAGCTATTATACTATTCAGAGAGATTATACCCTCGGCATTAGTGTTTAAAAGGTATCAAGCCATCAGCTATGTAAGAAAAATCTTTTAAGGTCGATACTTTATGTCTGAAATGTTGAAATTGTTAGTTACAACGGTAGATTAACTAGACTGTGCACCAAACTCGGATTCTTTTAAGCCTTCTTTGAAGACAAGGGTTGCACACAAATCTATTTGCAGCTGTTCCAACTAAAACGGTCCAAAGTCAAAGGTACACACGTCGCCCAGCTCGTAAGGATTCTGGTGACTTGCCACTGTGGACTGCACTAGGATTTGAATCAGTTTTAGTCCTAGTCCCTAATGTGGACGCACCTCTTAACTGATGCAGTTCAACCTGGTCCTACTGCTGGAAAACAACCCAGCCTTTGGACGCTAGCAATTAGTTCTGTATCAAATCAATGCCTGTAGAAAGGAAACTTTTCTAGAAAAGAAAACCTCTATGTTCTTGAAGACTTGCACAACACTGCATTTT